TTCTTTTACTACTCTGTAGAAGAGAATCAGAATAAAATAACTGATTTAGATGAGGTGGAAAATGTTGAAAGCGACACAGGTTTAAAAGTACTAGGCTGGCATTAGACTTCTTTACAGTGGCGGAGCCAAAGGGGCCCCTTGGAGCTTTGAACGCAAGTTTTTCGAGCATGAATCTCATAACAAGGTTAAAATTTCACGCAACCTCAGATATTGCCCCCCCATCAGACGTCAACATGGCTCCGTCACTGCTTCTTTATATACCAAGATGAATTCGAACTCTACCTTATTGTTATCAACTGGCTTATACTGTCAAAGGATAAGAGATATGCCAAGATCTAATGGAACCCAATCAAATATCTAAAAGACAGCTGGTAAAAATCAGCAAGTTACACAGTAACTTTCAGTCTGTCTTGTTACTGTATGAATTACAGATAAGTCTTACAGAAATTGTATCTACTTTGTTATATTTATTTTGTATGTTGTAAAAAGATTTACCTGTAAGCTACAGCCTTTAACCCTCTGATTCTCGTATCACAACCATCACTACGGCAACGCTTAATATTGATCTGTACCACTAGAAATAGAAACAGTAGATATAATATCCACATGTATTAAATGAGAGAAGGTTTTCCAAGACATTGGAATTGATTGGTCTCCAATTGATAGCTAATATCTACTTATCAACTTGTTTATTAATTTAAAGGAGAAAGCAGAATTCTTTGCTCGGTTCAAGTAAAACTAAGGTGTCATAAAAGAAGTTCTAGAGTTAATGAAAGAAATTTTAGAGTTAATAAAAGAAATTCTAGAGTTAATGAAAGAAATTTTAGAGTTAATGAAAGAAATTCTAGAGTTAATAAAAGAAATTCTAGGGTTAATAAAAGAAATTCTAGAGTTAATAAAAGAAATTCTAGAGTTAATAAAAGAAATTCTAGAGTTAATGAAAGAAATTCTAGAGTTAATAAAAGAAATTCTAGAGTTAATAAAAGAAATTCTAGAGTTAATAAAAGAAATTCTAGAGTTAATAAAAGAAATTCTAGAGTTAATAAAAGAAATTCTAGGGTTAATAAAAG